GGTCTGGGACACGAACTGTCGTCAGCCATGTGGGAATCCAGTGTTCTTAACCACCACATCACCTGTTGGCCCTTTAACCATTTCTTTTAAAATATCTCTTTGAGGGCCAGCTCTTGTCCTGATGGTTAAAGATGCCACATGACTGGCTGCATGGTTTGAGGTCTAGATCCAGCAACTTGAAAACATACAAGGCAGGTGTGCATGCATGCCCCAGATCCTGAAAAGATGGCCACATGGAAGTGGAAGGATTGTGGTATGACCATGCCCCATGATGGTTGCTTCCTTGCTGTCCTTCTCTCTCTGTGCCTCTCCAGTGAATGCATATGCCCTTTGGCAAATAAAAGCAAACAGAAAAAACTTTGAGAACCAAGGTCCTTGTGCCACACCACTACTACCTTGAGGACCCACGTCCATTGGCTGACCTTGAGCTAGGTGGCAAGACGTCCAAAGGATGATGTACTGGGGAGGCTGCACCCAGTTACTTGGCTCTCTCTACAGAGAAGGAGAGAGCCTCCAAATTCAAGGAGCCATTAGTTTTTTTGACCATAGGAAATTCTGGAGTAACTTGTGTGGAGCAAACACAGAAGGTGCCTCCTGAAGTATTTTATTCTGTGCGAGATCTTAAGGCCTTTGAACAACCCAAGGAGAGGACTGAATTTCTGAAATCTGACTCAGTGGGGGTTGACAAATGGGAGCATAAATGTAATGTGACTGGCTTTCAATTAGTGATTTTTGAAGCTGAAGTATATGGAAGTGTTCATTAGACTGTTTTGTCTACATTTGCTTCTATTTAAAATTCTTCATAATAGCTTTTCTTGCTTGTTTTTGAGAGAGAGAGATTCATGTTGTAGGGTACGTGTACTCGCCGGAGAGACAGAGAGACAAAAAGCAAGAAATCACGCCCTGGAGGAATGGCCACACCACAGTCTCTTCTCCTCCATTCTTCTTGTCAAGATTTTGGACACACATCCAAACACATCCAGCTTGAGTATAAGCCGCCAAGTCTGGGACTTGAACTATGGTCGACTATATGAGAGTCCAGTGATGTAACCATTATGCCATCTGCTGGTCCCAATTTAAAGCATTTTTTAAAAGTTGATTTTGGGAGCAAACTAGTTAGGTAGTTAAGGTGCTGGACATCCACATGGCCAATCATGCTTCAAGTCCTGGACCAGGCGGCTTGCTTTCTTATTTTCTCTGTCTCTCTCTCTCTCTGGTGTGCAAATGTGTTCTGTGGCAAAATTTTAATAATAAATAAAATTAATTAAAAATAATTTTTAAAAATGTATTTTGAATGTCTGTAGCTTTTCTAACATGAGTGTGACAGCATCCTCTTGTTTTTGTAGTGTTGTGCTGTGGCTTTCATTGAGAAACTAGATGCCCAGTCTTTGAATTTAAGTCAGGAGGATTTTGATCGCTACATGTCTGGCCAGACCTCTCCTAGGAAGCAAGAATCTGAGAACTGGTCTCCTGATGCTTGCTTAGGTGTTAAGCAAATGTATAAGAACTTGGATCTTCTGTCTCAATTGAATGAACGACAAGAACGGATCATGAGTGAAGCCAAGAAACTTGAAAAAGACCTAATAGATTGGACAGATGGAATTGCAAAAGAAGTTCAAGACATTGTTGAGAAATATCCACTTGAAATTAAACCTCCAAATCAACCATTAGCAGCTATTGACTCTGAAAATGTTGAAAATGATAAACTTCCTCCACCATTGCAACCTCAAGTTTATGCAGGATGATAAAAATGCACATGGATAGTATTTATTTGAGCCTAAATCATACATAGCCCTTATTACAGTCCACTGAGGTCTAGAATATAACTTAATTGCTTATAAATGTCAGAGCATTTTAAAAGGTACAGTATGTGGGGATTTTTTGTTCTTTTGTTTTTTGTTTTTTTCTTGGCAAGAGAGGCTTAGTAGATAATAAAATACTATTTATTTGAGTTGCTGAAATTGATTCATTTAAGGCTTATGTGAAAATTTTGTCACTATTTTATTCCATGGTTTTCCTATGTGTTTCCTCAGTAGCATTCACTAAGGTTTGGTTTTGGTAAACATTTGCTTTTAAAGGATAAAAATGAAAGCTACAAAGTGTATGTTTAAGGGAATTCAATGGTACATTGTTCCACAGTCTGAAATAATTTTATAATTGTAAAGATAGAAAATATATTGATAAGTAAATATGTAAAATTGTAAATATGTAAAAAGAAAAAAAATAGTGTCTTCTGTGCATGGTATTTCATGTGTTAAATTTTTTTTAGTCTAAAATGAAATATATTGAATGTTTGCCTCTAGCATTGTTTAATTTGGTTGGCCCCACTAAAATGAATCTGGAAGTATGTAGACATACTCCCCTTAAAATGTGGATCCCATCTTTAACAACATGTTGCCCTAACTTTGAGGTCCTTTACAATCAGAGACTATGACATTATCAAGATTTCAGAATAATTTTTTTTTTGAGAGATTTTTGCTATAGGGTGCGTGTGCTCACCAGACAGAGACAGAGAGACAGAAAGCAGGAAATCACCCCCCAGGGGGGATGGCCATGCCGCAATCCCTTCTCCTCCATTCTCCTCTCGGGATCTTGGGCACGCACGCACGCGCGCCCGGTGTGAGTTTAAGCCACCGGGTCTGGGACTCGAACCGCGGTTGACTACATGGGAGTCCAGTGACATAGCCATTATGCTAACTGCTGGTCCCATTTTTTTACTTTTTTTTTTTTTTTTTGAGAGTCAGAATAATTTTTAGGTCATATAAAGTTGCCATTTAATGTAGTCGGTTGAAGAATTTCAACCATGCTTCTAGGATCTTTTTTCCATATTTATTTAGCAAATCTTAAATTTTGAATTCTGATGTAAAGGAGCTGCCTGAGTCTGGGATAGAAGGTAGGGGAATACATGAGGTTCTGACTGTGAGAATTGATGGGGATTCCCTCAGAGGTGTAAAGTACAGGGGGCACCTAGTAGCCTCCACAGTGCGCTTTTTACTTTATGGACATAGACCTCTTCCAAGGTTCTTCAGTGCCAGTATCGTTGATAGTTTTCATTGTGGGGGCTCCCCTGTACATCGTAGGTTAAAATCACTCCTGCCCTGTATACTCACTAGATAGCAGTAGCAGCCCCCAATTTTGTGAAAAGTTATACCCAGACATTGCCAAATCATCCTCATTAAGAACCACTGATCTCTTTTGTCAGCTAGTGAGTTGTCTTCCCAGTGGTTAATGTGATATAACCAAAGAATATTGCATTAAAGGCACAGTATAATGTGAACTGATACCTCGTTCATTGAGACTCTACAGCCACCTTCAGTGTGGAACCTGTTCTAATCCTAATGGAACATTTTATACCTAAATATACCATTGAGGATTCTTCTTTCAGTCAGTGACTTGTACAGATTTTCAGTTTACTAGTAAAGTTTTAATTTCCCAGGGAACCATCCTTGAAAATGACATAAGCAGTTGAGAAAGGTTTTCTTGCTTGCCCAATATTTTCCTAAGAGTCTACCACAGAATCATAGAGTAGTAATTTTGGAATACAGCTAGGATGGGTACAAAACTTTCTACCCTTTATTTAAATTTACATATAGAATCTGTCATGTATGACACATCCAGTGTCTTAAATCAATGAAGACGTGAAGCAATTTAGCCAAGTTACATCACCAGCAAGCTCACTTGAAGGTAATGAATTGCTATCAAATGCCAGTGAAAATGTCCTACAATAAGCTGGGCCCAAATAATTTTAACAGAAAGCGTTCCCTTATCATTTTCAATTTTCTCTGTACTTTCTAGGTGCTAATCCAGGTGTGCATAGTTGTAACTTTTATTGGAAATATACTGTTCCTTCAGTTGTACATTATGTTTGGTAAATAAAATGTGCGTATGAGCCTCCCACAAAAGCTGACTTCTTTGAGTGTCTTACATATATTTAAAGCAGGTTGTTGAAGATTTTTGTAGATCTCTCGCATTGACTGAATACTTCAGATGTGGACTCTTTCCTTATGCAGAGGCTTATATTTCTCCAAGTCACCATCAATACAATGGTCAGGGCTTCTGTTTTCTCAACAAGAAGTGTTGATATTTTATGTGGTTGGAATAAACCTTTGGAGCAGAAGTCCTTAATAATAAAGTTTCATGATCCATCCGTCTTCCAAAGAGGTTGAGTTTTGGCTCTTTATTAGAATAATATACACTATTAGTAATGGTTTCATATTACAGTGGTTTCCTTTTTAAGCTAAAGCCATCATTTTCTTTTTTTTTCTTTTTTTGGAGAGGTTTTTGCTATAGGGCACGTGCACTTGCCAGACAGAAAGCGAGAAATCACCCCCCAGGGGGGATGGCCATGCTGCAATCCCTTCTTGGTACTCCTCTTGGGATCTTGGGCACGTACGCACACGTGCCCGGCGTGAGTTTTAAGCCACCGGGTCCGGGATGCGAACCGCGGTCGACTACGGGGGAGTCCAGCGACATAGCCATTACGCTAACTGCTGGTCCCTAAAGCCATCATTTTCACACTTAAAAGTGAGACATTTTCTAGTTAAAATTAAGAACAAGACAAGGGGGCCAGCAGGTGACACTTTGGTTAAGGGGGCTGACTACAGTTCATGTCCCAGACCCGACAACTTGCTTTCTCCCTTTCCCTTTCTCTCTAACCCTCTCTGGTCAAGTTAAAATAATAAATAAATAACGTTAAAATAAAATAATTCTAAAAAAAGGAAAATACGGGGCCAGCAGGTGGCATGGGGGTTAAGGGAGCTGGATTCCTATGTGGCTGACCTAGGTTTGGGTTCTGGACTTGGCAGCTTGCTTTCTCACCTTCTCTCTCTCTCTCTCTCTCTCTTGCTCTCACTTTGTCCCTCTCTAGTCAAATTTAAATGTAAGTAAATAAAGTTAAATACATTTTTTTTAAAAAAAGGGTAAGACAAGGGTGTTTGTCATCACCACAATTAACATCACTCTGGAGAGTCTACCCAGAGTATTACGTTTCCACACAGAAATAAAGGTAGAGGGCCAGCCCCGTAGCGTGGTGGTTGAGGGGGTCAGGTCCCCTAGTGCCAGGCATGTTTCAGACGCCTCAGCTGTGAGATGGGGATGATAATAGTACCTATTTCAAGGCATTGTCATCTGAATTAAATTACTTAGAGCTAATGATAGCTCTTCCTGTATTTGTGGATGATTTTTTTCTTTTTTCTCTTTTTGCTGTAGAGAGTATGCACTCATAAGTGTTTGTCCTGAGTTCTTGAAGTCTCTCCAAGGCTGGCCATAGAAATGAAAATTTCTCTTCCCCAAGGTGGGTCATAGTAACTAGAAGTATAATCTTTCACCATCTTTCAGACTTGGAACTGGTCATAATGAAACTAAGACCCTCATTGTAGAAGGGGTAGGGGGGAGTCCCATACCTGGGAATACACAGAGAAGCCAAGAAGACTGGACAGATTTTGCTGGGTTTCTTCCTCCAGGATACTAGCATTGGATCTTCTTTTCACCCTAGTCATATTTCTACCAGGCTGTCCATGCTTGAGTCATGTCTGTGCAATGAAGTCTCCATAAAAAGCTCAAAGGGGAGGGATTCAGAGAGCTACTGGACATATGGAGGCTTGCAGGAGGGTACAGGAACTCATCTGTGTGCCAGGAGAGTGGCTCACCCCCAGCTCCACAGGCATGGAAGTTTCTGCACTTGTGATCCTTCCAGTCCTCCACTTACGTATATCTTCATCTGGCTGTTTATTCGTGTCCTTTAAAATATCCTTTATGTTAAGCCAATAACCATAAGAATTTCCCTGAGGTCTGTGAGCTGCTCTAGCAAATTAACCAAATCTGAAGAGAGAGTTGTGGGATACCCAACTTGGGAGCTGATCTATAAAAAGTTTCAAAGGCCTGGATTTCTGACTGGTGTCTAAAGCCAGAGAGTCTTTGCGGGGAGGGGGCGAGGTAAGCGGCACCTTCTGTCTGAAAGCCAGGGAGTGGAGTCATTTGTTCAGATCACATGGCTGTGCTGGATTTGAGAAACACATCTTTCACCAAGAGCTGAAAACTCAAAATGTCTTTCTACCAAAGTATCATCAAAGTGGATGACCTAGAAATGGTCAAGTTGGGGCTGGCAAGTAGCATGGTGGTTAAAGGTACTGGACTCCCACGTTGCCAACCGTGGTTTAAGTCCCAAACCTGGCAGCTTGGTTTCTGTCTCTCACTCTGTCCCTCTCTGGGTAAATTAAAATAAGTTAGATAATTTTTTTTTTTTAAAGAACTGCTTGAGTGTGGGCCAGCAGGTTATATCTTCTAGTTTTGTCTGCTCGTGTTAATGGAAAGGGTATCATTGTTTTTTATGGCTGAGTGGCATTCTGTTGTGTATCTGTGGAACATCTTTTTGGAGATTTCTGCCATAGGTATGTGCACTTGCTTGCCAGAGAAACAGAGATAGAAAGCGAGAAATCACCCACTAGAGGGGAATGCCACACCACAATCCTTTTCCCCCTATTGTCCACTCTGGATCTTGGGCATGCACACACACACATCCAGAGTTTCAAGCCACTGGATCTGGCACTTGAACTGTGGTCAGCGACATGGAAGCCCAGCACCATAACCACCAAACCACCTGCTGGCCCCTATCTGTGGAACATGTTTTTAACCCATTCATTGGTTATTGGCACTTAGGATGATTCTATGCCTTAGTGATTGCGAATAATGCTGTGATAACATGGATGTGCAAATGCCTCTCAGACAGTGATTTCCTGTAATTTGGGTCCCAAGATTAGGATTATTGGGTCATACAGTAGTTCTATCATTAAATGTTTGAGGAATCATCATACTATTTTTCACAGGCTGTACTAATTTACATTTTCACCAGTAGTGTGCAAGGGTGGCCTTTTTTCCCTCAACTTCTGATTTTTTTGTTTTGCTTTTGTTTTCTGATCATAGCCATTCTGACTGGGGTTAGGTAATACAACATTGTAGTTGTAATTTCCACTTCTCTTATGATAAGAGATATTGAACATTATTTTTTCATTTTTTTAGCCATTTATGTCTTCCTTTGAGAACTGTCTGTTCAGGTCAGTTGTTCTCTTTAAAATTGGGTTATCGGGACCAGCAAGTGGTGTGGTGGTTAAGGTGCTGGACACTCCCACATGGCCGACCACGGTTCGAATCCTGGACCTGGTGGCTTGCTTTCTCACTTTCCTCTCTCTCTCTCTCTCTGGTCAAATTAAAATGAAGGAATGAATGAATAAATAAATAAGTCTTAAAAAAAATTGGGTTATCTGTTTATTTGTATATGTGTTATTCAAGTTCCTTATATATTCTGGTTATCAATCCCTTATCTGAAGTATAGTTTGGAGGCTTGCAGGAGGGTACAGGAACTCATCCGTGTGCCAGGAGAGTGGCTCACCCCCAGCTCCACAGGCATGGGAGTTTCTGAACTTGTGATCCTTCCAGTCCTCCACTTACGTATATCTTCATCTGGCTGTTTATTCGTGTCCTTTAAAATATCCTTTATGTTATTATTTTCCCCCATTCTGTGTGTGGAGGGAGATATTTATTGCTTCCTTTGCCATGCAGAAGCTTTTTAGCTTGATGTAATCCCAAATGTCTCTTTCACTTTTGGGGTCTTATTTTTAAAAATCTCCACATACTCTGATATCTTGAATTTGTTTCCGCAGTGTGTTCCTCAAGTAGTTTTAATTTGGGGATTTATGTTTAAGTCTTTAATCCATCTTGAGTTAATTTTTGTAAGTTGTGAGAAGCGGAGGTCTAGTTTCATTCTTCTCTAAGCGGCCATCTAGTCATCCCAGCACCATTTATTGAAAAGGCCATGCAATGCAGAAAATAAGCAAGAAAGAGAGAAAGTAAGCAAAATTCAGCAGTAGTTAGTATTAGGTTTGGGGATTACAGGTTTTAATTTTTCTTTTTAACATTTTCTAAATTTTCCTAAGTTTATACAATATCATAGTTGTTTTATAATCAGAAAATAGGAAAAAAAATAATCCTAGGGGCCAGCAGGTGGCATAGTGATTAAGACTCCCCCATGGTCAACCATGATTCAGGTCCCAGACCTGGTGGCTTGAAAATCATGCTGGGTGCATGTGCATGCATGCCCACAATCCCAGGAAGAAAATGGAGGAGAAGCGATAGCATTGTGGCCATCCCCTGGGGATGATTTCTCACTTTCCTTCTCACCATCTGTCTCTGTCTGTCTTCTGATAGCCAAAACCCTAAAAAAGGAAGGAAGAAAGAAATCATTCTGAGAGTATACAAATAAAAGCTATCCAAACCACAGCACAACACAGAATTGTGGTACTACATATTAGCCCTTAGAGAAGTTCGTATTAAAAGCAACTCAGCTGTCTCTGAATTGGGTTTCCCAGGCAACCTCTTTGTGGTTGCCAAAACAGAATGCTACCTATAGGGGTAGAATCATCCTCTTAGAAGTCTTGAGGCCTGCCCCTCTTTAAAAGAATAATGAGCTGTCTGCAGGGGTAGGTGTCTGGTTTAAATTTCTCCACACCTATTGAATGATTTCACTGCCAAAGGAAAATTGTTTGCTCTCTTAATAAAAAGTCCGTGAAGCTGAAAGAAATAAAAAGTCTGTGAAGCTGAAAGAAGTTAGTTTCGTGGGTTTGGGGAGGCAGCCAGAAGACTGGTAAGCAATTTTAAATAAGGAGGGATCCCTCTAAACAGTGAGAGAGTGGCCAGCTGTCAGAAGGAACCTGAAATTCTGATGATGCTTTTGCTTTGATTGCTATGGGGACAACTGACAGGGAGGTTGGTCATTGTCCTCTGCTTTGAGAAGTTAGAGGGGTGAATGGTCATGACCATCATGTCAATTGGAAACCTTTTCTTACCACTTTGTAAGTAATACCAACTCATTCTGAAATCCCTATGTTTTTGTGTGTTTACATGAACCAATCAGGGGCCAGTTGGTGCTATGGAGGTTATGATGGCTGAGTCTCACCTGAACTTGCAGTTCAAGTCCCAGGTCTTGTGGGTAGAAAAACATGCTAGCTATGTGTGCATATGTGCCCGAAATCTCCTGGAGGTGCTTTCTCACTCCTTCTTCCCATCCTCCATCTCTCTGGTGAGTGTATGCACCCTATAGTAAATTTTAAAAAGTGAAAATTAAACAGACCATATCTAAAATTTCCAAATTTTCCCAATAATTTTATTCTCTACAGGGCACATGTGCTCACCAGAAAGACACAGAGAGAAGGAAAGTGAGAAATCGCTCTGCAGGGGGAATGGCTACCCACAATCCTGTTTCTTCCCTTCTTCCTCTTGGGACTTTGGGCGTGAATGCACATGGACCTGGGGTACTTTTCAAGCTGCCTGGTCTGGAGCTCAAACTGCACAGCTAGCTATGTGCAATCCAGCTGCTTTAACCACCATGCCATGGGGTGGCCCCTAATCTATTTAGTATCTCTATAAATTTGCCTATTCTGGGCATTTCATAGAAATCCATTTATACAGTACATGGTCTTTTGTGACTAGCTTCTTTCACTTAGTAGAATGTTTTCAACTGTCATCCAGTCTGTAGCATGTATCAGTTCTTTACTCCCTTTTATGGCTGAATAAATATTCTCTTGAATGGATTTATCACATTTTGTGTATCCATTCATCAGTTGGTGAACATTTGGGTTGCTTCCACTTTTTGGCTTTTGTCATGCTATAAACAAATTTTTGTTTGTACATACCAGTAGTCTTCAAAACATTTATGGAAAATTCATTTAATGAAAAACTATGGGGCCAGCAAGTGGCATAATGGTTAACATACTAGACTCCCACATGGCCCGGACCCAGTGACTTGAAACATGCTGGTGGGTGCATATGCATGAGTGCCCAAAATCTGAAGAGATGGAAGAGAAGGGACTGTAGCATGGCCATCTCTCTAGGGAGTGATTTCTTGCTTCCTGTCTCTCTGTCTCTGTCTCTCACACACCCTAATAGCAAAAATCTCTAAAAAAACAACAAAAACCCCTAAAAAAAAACAAACAAAAAAACCCAAAACACAGATTTCAAACTTTCTTTGCACCAAAATTTGTATTTTAATTCCATGTTCCCACAAACTATTAAAAGTATGCTTGTATGTTTTTCAATTCACTGAGTTAAAATGGTAATTCTGTGTTTAACTTTTTTGAGGAACTGCTGGACTGTTTTCTAAACTGGATACATTGATCTTTTAATTTCTTTTTCGATTTTGAAATCCCATACAAGTCACCTAGAACAAAAGATTTGAAGCTATCTCTTTTCTCTCTCCTGAGGTCTCAAGAGCTGAGTCACAGATGGTGCTCATGCCGGTGGGACTCTGAATTGATCAGTCACAGCCTGGGTAGGGGCCATTCCACTAGGGAGCTTGGTTCCTCTGTTCTTTAGACAGTATTGAACTGTGTCTGCAGTGCTTCTGCAGCTTCAGTAGGCACTGACCATTTAGATGACAGGGAGAAGCGGTGAACTTGCCCACCTTTGGGTGTGTATGATAACCCGTTCTATTAGGTCTTCTAGAAAGTCATGACTTTTTCCTAAGTCATGCATAGAAAAAAAATGTGTCATGACTTTCTCAACAACCCAATAATAATTGAGAGGCTTCTATATGAACCATCCCAACAAAAGTAGCAGCCAATAGAGGGTATGGGATGGACCCAAATATACCCTCTCTACTCTGCAGTTTTCAAAGCCAGAGACACTGTCCCTTGTTTGAAAATTCTCAAGAGTCATTCTACAAAACTGTCAGGGGGATGCTGGTAATGATCTACAAAATGACCCAATTCCTTCACTGAATAACCATGTATTTCCAGATTTTGTGTCCTCAATTGTCATCTGGTCCCACTTGAGTTATTTTCTTTGTTGTAATGGGTCTTATGGTCCAGCTGATTCATCAAAAATTGTAGTGTGAGCCAGACAAGGCAAAGCCCAACTGAAGGAGATTCTGAACTCATTTTCATGGTTAGTGATAGAAGCAGCAACTGTGAAACTGAAATTCTAGCTTACCTGACGTCAGTTTGTAGTCCTCTCCCCCCTCCCTTTTATAAGCTCCCAGGGTTTAAAAATCTTTCATTTTTAAGTTTTGCTGGAAAGCCTTATTATTAATATCTGATTTCAAAGTCTGTCCCATGTTGAAAGAAGTGTGGCTTGTTAATTTACATCCCCTTTATTGGAATCATCTTTTTTCTTTCTAAATAATGCCTTAACCATATTTTTAGTTAAGAATGAATTAGAGAAGGCTGGCAGGTGGCGTGGTGGTTACGGGCACTGGACTCCCACCTGGTCAACTGTAGTTCAGGTCCTGGACCTGGCAGCTTGCCTTCTTACTTTCCCTCCATCACTCTGTTCCTCTTTGGTCAGAGTAAAATAAATAAATAAGTAAGTAAATGAAGTTAAATAAAATAATTCTTTTAAAAAAATAAATGAAAACAAAAATAAATGAGAGGTCATTAAATCCCATTTGTGACACCGAATGCACTAATAGCAGTCAGATAGGGCTTAATAGGGTTCAGTTGCTAAAGAAGACTCACAAGACTCCAGATGCCCATGTTAATGAATCTACAACTTGTTATAGGGTATAAAAAGCAATATAGCGGGGCCGGCAAGTGGTGTGGTGGTTAAGGGTGCTGGACTCACACATGGCTGGCCACAGTTCAAGTTCCAGACCTGGCAGCTTGCTTTGTCATTTTCCCTCTCTCTCTCTAGTCAAAATTAAAAATGAATAAAGTTAAATAATTTTTTAAAAAAGCAATATAGCAACAACGTTAAAATAAGGCACTGGGTCTGGGACACAACTGTGCAGTGGGCTCTAGGGGGTCCAGCTGCCTTAACCACCAGGTCATGGAGCCGGCCCAATAGTGGCAGTTTAAAAATTACTTTTTTGTGTGTATGGACTTTGGTGTACAGAACTGACAACACTTATTTTTATTAACTGTAACATTTATTTATTTTGAGACAATGACCCACCATGCTAGTCTGTATTTGCAAAATCCAATTTTAAGTTTAATCCACATTAACTAAACTGGAAATACGCAATTATTTATTTACTTATTTTTAGAGGTTTTTGTCTTAGAGCACATGTGCTTGCAGAGGATGGAAGGGGGAGACAGAGAGAAAGAGAGAGAGAGACAATGTCTCAGAATGACTCATATCATATCATTATCTCCAAGGTTTGACCTATTTTAAGATATAGAGCAATTCCTGGTGCCTTTAACTGACATGTGATAGGCTGTCTCCTGCACACTAACAACTTTCTAGTTCAATGTAATTTTTTTTTAAATTTAGAAGATACAAAATACTTGCTATGTATAAAACACAAACAAGGGACCAGCAGATGGTGTATTGGTTACATTGTTGGACTCCCAGGTAGACTGGTTGGAGTCCTGGACCTGGTGACTTGAAAAACTCACACCGGGTACAGGGACCAGCAGTTATCATAATGGCTATGTCGCTGGACTCCCATGTAGTTGACTGTAGTTTGAGTCCCTGACCTGGTGGCTTAAACTCATGCCGGGCGTGTGTGCATGCATGCCCAAGATCCTGAAAGGAGAATGGAGGAGAAGGGATTGTGGTGTGGCCATCCTCCCCGGGGGTTGATTTCTTTCTTTTTTTCTATCTCTCTGTCTCCCTCTGTCCTTGTGGCGAGCACACGCGCCCTATAGCAAAAACCTCTCAAAACCCACCCCCAAAAAAACAAAAAAAACCCTCACACAGGGTGCATATGCTTGCGCCCAAGATCCTGAGAAAAGAATGGAGGAGAAAGGATTGTGGTGTGGCCATTCCCTCCGGGGGGGATGATTTCTCCCTTTCTGTCTCTCTGTCTTTTGGGCAAGTACATGTGCCCTATAGCAAAAATCACTCTCTAAAAAGAATAAAGAAAAACCCCCACAAACAACAATTCAATCAGTAACTAAGTACCTACCACTCTTTTTAAGAAAAAGAACAGCTTTGGGAGCCAGCAGGTGTAGTGGCTAAGTGCACTGGACTCCCACATGACTGACTGTGGTTCAAGTTCTGGACTTGGTGGCTTGCTTTCTCACTTTGTCTCTCTCTGTCTCTGTTTCTCTCTGGTCAAATTAAAATAATAATGATGATGAATAAAATTACACAATTCTTTAAAAAAAAAGAACAGTAAAATATACAGGAAACAAGAAATGGAAAATTATTTGTTGACGATAACACGTAGGTTGATGTCCTTGGTTGAGCCAATATACAGTGTATTCTGGATAGGAAATCTCATTTTGTATGCTGTAATGATGTATAGTGAATGAATGTAAATAAATTTTTTTATAAAAGAAAAAGAACAACTTTGAATCTGATGTGTGCTCCTCTCCCACCCCATCCTCTTTTTAATTTTTATTTATTTTTATTTTATTTTTTTGAGAGAGATATATTTGCTACAGGATACATGTGCTTGCCAGAGAGAGAGTGACAAAGAGATATAAAGCAAGAACTGACCCCCTGGGGTGGGGAGTGTGATTATGCCACAGTCTCTTCTCTTCCATTCTCCTCTTAAATTTCGGGCACACATGCACATGCACCCAACATGAGTTTGAAGCCACCAGGTCCGGGACTTGAATCCCAGTCAATCATATGGAAGTCCAGTTCCCTAACTACCACTCTACCTGCTGGACACTCTCTCATTCCATTCCCTTAACATGAAGT